GGGAACGAGCTATTTTCTGATGACCTTCTGTCTGCGCTGGCAGTTTATGATGCACACTCATGTTCGTATTCTGCAATTTACAGAAGCTAATATTAAACACCATGGGCTGGTTAATGGATAAATCGATTATCAAAACCCACCCCTAATCATACACTCATTAGTGTGATTTTTCCCCCTGAAAAACCAAAGGAAATTGCTCAATACATTTTTAAACAATTTAAAAAGACAGTGGAACTGAAAACAGAGAAAATGAGGGAGAAAGTTAAAGTTTGGCCTGTTTGAAATGTACCCGTTTGTTCAGAGATGAAACACCACAAAAGTTTAAAGAATAACTATCTCAGATGGTGTAAATGTGTGTAAAATAATGTTTCTGTATATAATTTGATGGGAGCTTATGGAAACTATCTGTTGTGGCATGTAACATGCTGTGCCAGCTTTTCACACCCGCACACTTCATCTTTTTACTATCAGTCTGGAAACATTAGCAGGGAAATAAGAACTGACTCGTGAAACTGAAAGCAGATGACACTGTTTGATGGTTTGCTCTTTGGTTTGGTCAGTTTTTCTTACAGGGGAAGTCGTTCTCTTCACTCTCAAAGCAGTTCTCTAAAAGGCATTTTTCATTAGACAGACTCACCTGTATATAATATACTAAAACAATCAAAACCTTTTTCACATTTGTCAAAACATGAATATAGCTAATGCAGAGTAAATAATTTTCAGAAACAAAAATTAAATGTGAAGGATTTAAAAAAAAAAAAAAAATTTTACTAAATAAATAAAATGAAGAAAAGCAAAATAGAGTCAAATTAAACTATTTGCATAAAAAAAACAAAGGAAAAAGAAACAATCTGAGAACACAGCGCCAACCAACTTTATTAGGTACGTCTGCTCTACTGCTCATTACAGTAATCCAAATAAACCAATCAGCTTTCCGCAGCATCTTAAACTGAGAAGTGCATTAACATAGTAACCAAACAGTAGTGAAGTATGTGGAGAAACAATGAGAATGTGAAAGACTTCATCATAAAAACCATGAAGAACCATGAACCATGAAGAGGCCGCTAAAACTACAACCACCTGCAGAGGGTCAGGCAAGCCCTGAGGAGTCAGCTGAACCGGAAGAACAAGATCCGGGCAATCGACACATACCCCAGTGATCAGGTACCCTGCTGGGATAATAAGTGGGCTATAGGAAGAGACAGAGGCCGGCAGGCCCAGCAGGAAAAGGAAGCTCCTGACCGTGCACATTTAGTGAACACCTCATACAGCAGAAAGAAGAAAAGCAAGGAGAAGAACCATCATGGAGAGGCAGCCACCTACAACCATACAAGCAACAGATAGAAGGAGTGACTGATATAAAAAACAAAACAAAAGAAACACACAATCCAGAACCCCAGGTGCAGGCTGTCCAGAGATAATCCAAGGTGCAAGATGCCAACAAGCTGGGCAAACATCCAACACAAACTGTTTTGATGAGTCATCACATACAAGTGTCATGGTCCCTGTGTCTACCCGGCTGGCTCAGTGAGGCTACATGTATTAGTTATTGTTTTTTCCTTGTCTCTCGCTTGTGGTGTTTTTTGTTTGTAAAGAAACCTTTGCCCTTTACTCCGAATCTGCACTTGAGTCAGTTTTTGACAACGAGTAAGAAGTGCATCAACACAGTAATAAATATCTTTAGTAGCAAATCATCCATAATTACAGTAAAAGTGTGTATAAAAACAATGCGAAAGGCTCATGTAGGTGTGGAAATGCAATACTGATTTAAGAACACCATTAAGAGTGCTTATCATGACCTTTCTCCTTTGAGAATTGCAATAAGACAATCAAGAAAAACCGTGACACGTTATGCTTTTCATGGTGTGTTATTTTCCTCAGCATTCATTAAAAAAAGCCAAAGAAATAATTAATACACTTTATCAAACAAAATGCATTCTTATTGTGTTTACTTAGTGATGATGTTGGGGAACTCGTCTTTATCCATTACAGCATAAATGTAAAACTAAGTAGATCAGAAATACAGTTATTGAGAAAAAACAGAGCAATGTAACAAATAATGAGTGTATCAGGCAGTGTAGTCAGTTCTGGTGATACTTTGTCCTTGGTATCTGTTTAAAGATTATGTATCTGTTTAAAGATTATGTATCTGTTTAAAGCTGTAATTTTTTATGCAGCTTTAAATAGATACATAATCTATAAAGACTTGGTCCTGAGCTAAAACATCTCATTTGGAAATTAGTTTATGTTCTGATTTACTGAATGAAATGATTTTTGTTAAGTTATGACAATACAACTTTTTCAGCTTTATTTCACAATTTTTTAGCCTAACCAAACATTACTATCTGAGATCTTTTTTACTTTATTTCTACAGGTAATGTGGCGATCTTCTCCATTTATGAACCAAACTACAACAAGAACACAACAAAAACAAAAACCTGTTTGCATTTTGGAGCACCATCCTGACCTACGTGCTGTTTGCTGCACTCGTTTACATTTGTTGCTGCTGTAAGGAAAAACCGGCTGATGATAATGAGGCTCTGCTGCGGAGATAAAAAGAAAAGAATAAAGATGGCTGACATGAAAACATAGGCACACACAGCGGATCACAATCAGCATGTTTGGTGGTGTTATGATTTTTACTGATCACTTTGGTGCAAAATCAAACCAGAAATGTTATTTTCACTACTCTTAATGCACTTCTCAAATTTGTAATACATTTCCCCCACACATGATAGCTTAATGCCTAATCTGATTGTTTCTACACACACTTACAAGTACAGAAATAGTAAAAAGTTTTTATTCATTCATCACAGAGTTGAAGTGATTCACTGACTCTTCATGTTTTGACATATTTGAAAAAGGTTTTATTTGTTTTAGTGACTCTGTGTTATGAAACTCAGAAGTGCATAAAGAGTGCTGAGAATGACTTTCCTTTGTGCCGAAGTGATGGAGAAAAACTGTAGTGAGTGTTTTTCCATGCGTGTTCCATGTACGGTATATTGTCAAAAGTGTTCACTCACCCATTCAAAACAATGAATTCTGTTGTTCCACTCAAGTTCAATGGATTTGTGTCTTATGTACTTTTAGCAAACATATTACAGGAACATGCGTTTGATCTGTTGATCTTTTAGAGAAATATCACAGTGAGGTTTAGCAATTAATGTTTTTACATTTAATTTCCTCAAATGATTCTCAAACATCATCGGGTATTATAAATATTATTTTTATTGTTTGTCAGGCTTGGTGGTTGCTGTGTTTTTCCATTATTGTTTAAGTTGTTACAAACTTAGAGCTCCTGGAGTTTCCCAAAAGTATGAGTATGTCAGGCTGAACTGTCAGAAACTAGAAAACAACATATAGAGAATATTAATTTGATGAAGTCATGCAGACAAAGCAAGAAGTCTTCAGTCAAAATGTTCATTAAACGGTTATGTTACATTAAGAGGAAACTACTTTTTATGTTTGACTTCTTTGACCATGTTCTCAGTGATTTCAGAGGATTATTGCGAATACAGTGCCGGCATTTTGTTGTTGAGAATAAATAATCGGAACTTTCCCTCCTTTCGTTTAAAGTTTTCTGAATGTAAACAAAAATGTTGTGTGATATAAATCATAGCTTAATGAAATCCATATGTGAGCTTCTTAATTTGGGAATATCCCAGCTATTAACTTTTTGTTTATCTGAAAAAATAAATTAAATAAAAAACAAAAATTCATGTAATCGTCCTATTTTTTATTTCATAGTTTAGTACAGTGCTGTAGCTTCTTTATTCTTTGTCAATTTAATTAATTGGCATAATATTTTTTTAACTGAACCAAAAAATGTGTCAATATGGAAACTGAAAGTATTTTGGAAAAGCAGACAAATCTCGTGCTGCCTCAAAACCAGTGAAAAAAACCTCAGACAGGGAAGACTCAGTGGTTTAGACCAAATAAGGGGAAGTGCTCGTAAATTCACTTCTCAAAGTCATTTTATCCTAGAAGTTTGGTCTGCTTGAAATGTATAGGGAGCTTTGAAAGAAAGTGACTGGACTTCTTTTTGTGAAACTTTAACTTTCTGTCCAAGCTTCTCAGACTACCATGATCTGGGATGAAAACCCACACAGCCTGTTTGCAAAGTATCTATACTGATTCAGAGTTGATACCAAGAGTTTGTCTGTCTATGGGGCAAGACTGAACTGAGTGTGCAGGTCTGGTGGTGAAGTAAGCTTGCTGGGGCCTTAGCAACGCAGATGGAGGAAATCTGGAGGCCCGCTGGGAGGCCAGTGGCTGAGACAGAGGAACTGGGGACCAGCAGAGGAGGATGAGACGTAGTGTTGGGGAAGGATCCTCATCCTCAAACCACTGGCTTCTTAAAAAGGAAGCCAAGCTGGACGAGAAAAAAAAACCCTCTATGGCAGTTTAGATGTCCTCTACATATTTGTTATCTAACACTGAGCACTGATTCAACTCATCATCTTCAAATTAAACTTTCTTAATCAAAGTATACTGATAAAAAATAAAGGAAGAGCATAGCATCAAGTCAGTTAAACTTCTTGGCTACTAATCTGATCATTTAAGTAACAGAGGCGATTCAGGGACCATACGAATTGAGCTACTTAACACTGGTAGCTCAATATGAACCATACAAAGAGCTGTTTGAAGTCTAAAACCTGAATTCCTCAAGTAATACTACAAGAAAATTCAGATATATAGTCTGAAAACGCTGTACGCTTCATATTTCTGACACAAAAAGACAAACAAATGAACAATAAAACAATGTTTTTTTTCCCCTTCTTGTTATTAATTTAACCTTTTAGTTTTTATGTAATGTTGCTGACATACACATGAGTAAAAATATAATTATCCCAGTGAATCACTGTACTCCTCACCCAAATAACATTAGTGGAAAGGGAAGATTGAGAGCAAGCACTAGTGAAAGACGCTGTAAAAGGAAGTTGAAACGTGCTCACATGCCCATGTTACATGTGGCCATGTTCTCTATCTTTATAGCAGTCCAGACAGACACACAAACAGGTAGGTCTGCAACTATCTGCTTAATGCTTTCACATAATGGATTTTAATTTGTAACTATTTTGAAATACACATGAAGTTGTTTTTTAACATGCTAATTTCTTGTAGAAACATCTGTTTGTTGAGCTGCTTTTGTTATCCGGTAAGAAAGCATTCATAATTTCTCTTTTACAAACTAATATCTATTATTAAAAAATTTTCTGATAGCCTTGCACTCTAAAGAGTAAGTAAAAAGTAAATAACTTTCTACCTTTACATTTTCTTATTTTTCTTTGTAAATCATTTTCATTTATAACCTAATCAGAATAACAGGAATGGAAACATCAGGAGGCTATCTTGTGGCTCACTTTGTGTCTTTATAGGTTAGATTCAAAACTAGTTACAATGCAGGGGAGTCAGAGACCACAATTCATCTGTGGACTGAGATGCATAACAATAGGTGAGAGAGTGATGTGTTAAGTTTTTGCAGACATTTAGAGTTGGTGGATACTGTTATTTGTGACTGAAAACATGCTGTATTTGCCTCCTTCAGGGCTCATTTTGTTTCTTTTTTACTTAATATTCATTGGCCAAGGGGCGATTGGTAAGCAAGAGATGCTCATATTCCCATTCGGAGATTGAATTTATGTGAATTTATTTTTATGAGCCAGACAATGTTTGAAAAAAATCAAATCTTTATCTTTGCACCCCACAGGTTCAGGTGTGTTTCAATGTCCCAGACAGCCTTTTATCTCCCTCTACATGTCCCTGTATGGGATCATACCGGTCTTCTTGGCACTGAGCTTATGGTGTAACTGGTGCAACAGTGTCTGTTGGTCTGTAACCACCATCTTCTTCTGTTGCTGGTTAATTGCTGGTAAGCTTTAAAAAAAAGTGTCAATTTTTGCAAATTATTAGCTCACAGTCTTGGCTGGAGTGAGAACAAGATGGTTTCTTACTCCAAACCCCCCCAAATTTAACATGTTTTATTGATTTCCCCCATGAGTTTAGAGAAAACATAAACAACATAAACTACAGATTCTAATGCATTTTTTTTTCAAATGTACAGGGTGGGCCATTTATATGGATACACCGTAATAACATGGGAATGGTTGGTGATATTAAAGTCCTGTTTGTGGCACATTAGTATATGTGAGGGG